AAAGGACCTGTTACAGTAGACAATGGCACACAGTTGAATATGCAATGCTCATCAGAGGTTGGCAACCCAGCAGTTACCATGAAGGTCTTAAGCAGCCACGCTTCGCCTAATAACAGCACTCATTATATGTGGGAAGAATCTGACAAGAATAACAAAATATTAACACAATCGATAAATTTGATTGTGGAGACCGATGATCAAGGTAAACTGTTTGCGTGCATCATCTCATCTAAATCTTTCCCTGATGTGAATAGCACCTGCATGATTGGACCACTTAGAGTAAAGAATGGGGCTGACTCCACTTTCACGGCAAAACCCATGGGAACAAGTCTTACGCGAACCAGCAGGCCTCCATCAGCAGTCATAGCCGGTGCATCTGCAGGTGGGGCCGTCGCACTTGTTTTCCTCATATTGATTTTGATTGCAATCTGCAGTGGACGTCTACGCTGCAACATCAAACAGAAACGCAAAATGCTCGGCAAAAACGCAAAAAATAGTAACCTTATAGTCCACTCTCAGCCATCAGAATCAACCATTTGTGACTACCCGGGGCAAAATAAGTCTGCAACCTCTCAATCTACCATCGACCTAGACCAACTTCAAGAAACTAAAAGTTCAAACCCTGCCCCTGGATCAGACACGCCTCCTGCTGCTCAGTTGCCCTTTGCAGGGGTGCAGAAAAATGACAGCAATCAGTCAGACGAAGGGCCAAATAAAGCAAATGAGGCTCGGGTGATGGCTGACGACGAAGCAAAGATACAACATCAACATGAGCTGGACGATGGAAGCACCAGACAAGAAGCAAGCAATGCTGTGCTTGTTTCTTATGGCAGCGGAGATATATCAGGATTACATGGGAGTACAGATGTATCCACCGATCCCGTGGCCTCACCCATGCAAAAAGCTCCCAAGAAACCTGCACCCTACAAATCTAAAGCATGTGCAACTGGCATCACTCCGCTAGTTCCTCCAACCAGGATAGCCAGATGTCACCAGAGGCCCTAGCAACCGCATCACAACGTCCCTTAGATCCTGATCTTATCTCCTCGAGTACCCCTCAAGAGGACGGCCAAGACGAAGGGGGCGGAGAGACCAATCTGCCACGCCCTGAGGAGGAATCTGATGAGGTTCAAGTTTCCCAGTTTTCAGACCGTGGCGAGAAACCACCACCTGATCTTATCGTGTATGCCGATCTGGATTTGCAAATAAATCCATCCGATGATAGCGATCATCAGCCGATGTCATCGGAGGAGGCAACCATGTACGCTTCCATCACAGTATCGCAACGAAACTGAAACATCTAGGAGGAAGCATGCTATGGACAATAGTAGAATTTCTCCAAAAAGCCCAATCCCAAGGGTTTTTTTGTACAAAACATTATCTCAAGCATTGCTGTATATTCTTGTCTAAACTTACATCGAGTTACACGGGATTTGATAACTATGTAGCCTGAATTCTGATTATAAAGACAAACAAAGAAATTGACTGGAGCGGAATTTGAACCTGCGACCTCTTTTTAAATTTCTTTGTTCATCGTTACAATCATTTGTAAGCACCTAGTCAGTTTCCCGATATAGTTTCTTTCATAACTTGAATTCTCACATGGATGCGACAGCAAACGTAAACCGATGCCCTTCAACAAAAATACTGTTCTTGCAAAATCAAACTGTGAGCATTTTCCTTACCAGTGCCTCTGCAGGCCTACTCTCTGTATAACTTCAAAGTTATAGCAGCACCTGTTTAAAAAGATAGATGTAGAACCGTACAATCAATTAAGTCCTGAAAAGGTTGGCAAACAGTTTACAATTTCAGTCCAAAGTATCAAAAGGTGTGTTATTAAATACAGTAATGAAAGTAGCTGTCAAAAAGATGTCACTTTTATTTGGAAACTAACACCAAAAACATGAAAGTTTTCCAGCTATAGCAATCATACGATGATAGGATGACAATCAGCACCCCTCTCCGACCTCTCAAGAAGGCTAAACAGAAAATTGTGACTAATTATGAAATGTTTTCCCTTCACAGTTAGATACTGCCGCTGCTAGATATTGTGATGATGAAAATGAACCTGGCCATTGAAGTTAATTGTATGTAAATTCGAATCATGAAAATTGAAACATAAATCGATTACGTTCGTCCACAATAATTGATACAAACGAATGTAATGTCCCGATTCTTGAATATTTTCGACTAATGACACAACAAGACACAACAATTAAAACTACTTGCCATCAAGGTTAAATTGATATGTTATGTGTAACACGCATAATAAAAACTTGTGGTCTGCAATCATAATTGCTAAGTTTGTTGAAAGTCCCGAAGAATTGAGCTCGACCTGAGGAAGGTGCCCCAATATACACATAGGGGTTAAAGATTCACATGAACATTCCCTGCATAAGAATACAATGACAACATGAAATTGGACCTTGATTGGTTGGTTGAGAACTGACGCACCAAAACTAAGTATACACGAAAGTTTTCTTACAACGAAAGATAGAATAGGACCGAGACCATTTCTATGCAAGTTCACTGAAGCGTAACTCCTACATTCATAATGACGGAAATAACAAAAAATATTTAACAAGTACTTTCAACTTTGATAACTGTTTGCCGTTTACTTTGATGTGGAAAATGAAATTCTCGATAACTATATTACAACATTGGTAGATGCAAATCTGAAGACATGGATCTCTCGAAATTTCCCTCTCTGCTGTGTGTGTTGTGTTCAGTCATTTTATGGGGACTTCTGACTGTTATCATTGAACAGCAAGCAATGGGGCAACTAGTAGTTAGGCTGACGATAGAAACACCAGAGGTCGATCGAAAGGAAGGTGGACAGGTTGAAATGATGTGTTATGTACAATCACAACAGGGTGGAATAAACATGCTTATTCTGAAGTGGACGACTAGAAACCCATCACGAGTTGTGGAATCTGGTGATCGGTTCACGCTGACGAGAACAGCTAACACTGATTGGACACTTGTTGAATACTACTTAAACATTAGTGATTTACAGCGAGACGACAGCGGAGAGTACGCATGCAGTGTCGGGGAGAACACCTCCAAGGTAAATCTGTCAGTGTTGTACTTCCCCAATGAGTCCTTCCCTATCTGCTCCCCTGACGGTTCCATTACAGTAAACATTGGAATGCAGCTGAATATGCGATGTTCATCCGAAGGAGGTAACTCGGCAGTGGACATGGAAGTCTTAAGAGGCTCTATGTCAAACATTACTAAATTTCATATATGGAAGGAATCAAAAAGGAATGACACCATAACAAATTCATTAAATTTGACCCTGGAGGCTGATGATCACGGTGCTTTGTTCTTGTGCTTCATATCATCTACTTTTTTTCCTGATATGAACAACACCTGCACCATTGGACCAATAAATGTAACGGATAACAGCGACTTAGAAACTGATCCTCCGTCAACTGAACCAAACGCAGCACTCATTCCAGGTGCATCTGCAGGTGGAGCAATCGCACTTGTTTCAATCATCCTGATCTTGATAGTGATTTGCCAAAGACGCCACCTATGCAAAATCAAACAGGAACCTGAAATGCCCAACAACACAGATATCGACCTAACAACTGTTCACCCTGAACTCTTTGAATCCAAAACATGTAAAAATTCGGAACAAAATAAGTCTGCAAACAGTCAACGTGACATCCACCAAGACCAGCTTCCAGCAAAAGAGACTGCGAATCGGCCCCGTGAATCATCAGACACAATTCGCCCCGATGAGGACAATGCACAGCCACCTGTGTCACCAAATGAAACAATTGGGTCATCGATAATTATCGGCAACACAGGACAAATGGAATATTTGGACAACTCACACGGTGATGTTACCAACGAAGAAGACTCCAGTAATCCTGTGACTGTTGTCCAAAACGTTGATGATGCGTCGGGGTCAAGCGGGGGTACAGGTGCGCCCATCAAACCTGTTGCCAAGGTTTCCCCCATGCAACAAGTTCCCCCAAAACCTGCACCTTACAAACCTAAAGCAAACTCAATAAGAACATCTATCATTCATGCCAGCTTCTCCAACCAGTATGACCAGACGTCGCTAATGGCTCCATCAACCCCACTACAAACTCCTGAGCTTATCCCTCAAAACACACCTCCTCATGAGAGCAACCGAGATGAAGGCCAGGAGACCGATTTGCCACGCCCTGAGGATGAACCCGATGAGGTTCAAGTTCCCCCAATTCCAGAACATGACGAGAAACCACCACCTGATCCTATCGTGTATGCCGACCTGGATTTGCAAGAAAATCCATCTGATGATGGTGATCATCAGCCGATATCAGCAGAGGAGGCAACCGTGTACGCTACCGTTACCATTCCACCACAGAACTGAGAATTCAGGACACGTACGCGTCTTGAAGAAGAGCATGTTTTCAACGAGACAGATCTGATACATGTACCTGTATAAAATTCGACAACCTGGATGATCGTAAGATATGCTGACATAACCGTCATGCAATCTATGTAGTTTATTGCGAAGTTGTAATGTATAATTGTTAAGCGCCAAAATTAATGAAATCAGCTGAAATAATCAATATGTAACTAGCCTTCTTTCTGTGTATTGTTTTTAAAACCTCCATATTGTGAGGCGCAAATACATTAATTTACAGAGAATGACGCCTTTATATAAAAAAGTTGCCAGTTTTAATTAAATGGGTTTCAAGGATTTGTCATGTATAAAGATGTTGAGTTTATATACATGTATGACTGCTTCCTGTGCAGAAAAAAAAAGTGTAAACCAATGAAACAAAATACATGTAGCGGAATAGGGATATCAATTGTACACTTTCATCGGCAGAGGGCGCACCAGCATAAAGATGAAGTTTCTTATGACAAACGTGAAAGCACGACGGAGACTGCAACAAGTCTGATTTATTACCACAAGGTAAATTGTCAAGGGCCAAATTAATTGTCTTTCTCTTCAAAAGGTCGACTCGTTACATATTAAGACCCAAGAATTACCCCTTTGGTTTTTTAACATGACATTTATTTCACATCTCAAGTTTATAACTTTAAAATGACACCCATACTTTTTAACTTGGACTTAGATATTTCAAAAGTAACAGTACGGACATTTGTGCCACCATTTTAATTTTTCTCACACGTTTTGGAATACAAAGCAATTTTAAGTTATAAACCTTAGATATAGAGGGTTCTCCATAATCTGTCATGTAAACTTCAGAAGTTCTAAATCTCAGCTTGTATGAAAAAAACAACAAAAAATGAAAAAATGAAAGAAGACGATTTGGGATTAACCTGACACTTTCATATAATCTCCTTCAGAATATATTAACAAATATACAGATAAATAACGCATCTAACACATAATTGTGTGTATCGTAGGAAATAAGTAACAAACTTGGCAAATGTAAGGCATCTACATGTACACTGTATATGATATGCTAAGATTGGATAGTTGAAATTTTGCACTTGACAAGGAACACAGAAAGCAGCAAATATATACAAAAGACACCAAACGATCTTAGTAGGATTTCTTGTTCGAATATCTAAACTTAGTTTGATCACTGAAGAAGTCTGCTGATTTTATAACGTACTAATTGCCACTGCATGCATTGAATACAAGGTCAACGAACTCCCAAGAACTTACATGAAAACTTATTCTGCTGTGTGTTTAAGAACAGCTGATGAAACAAAAGGGAATATGTTTTTTATAATACACTGTACTTAAATATTTGGAGGTTTTACCAAAAGATACGAGCATACTTGAGTACAAAACAAAATTGTACTTACTTGTACATGTATTATTTTAAATATCTAGGAATGATAACAGGAAACATTTGAAACATCAACATGTACATGCAGCTTCTACAACAGGTGTAATTATGCAAATCCTTTCCTAACAAAGTCATTATGAAATACTCATTGATACATTTTAAGGATGATCTGTTTGAGGAACAAGCATTTATGTAGCTGCTACAGGTGTAACACTCTATGCATAATTATTAACAAACATGCCTTTTTATTAAACTCTACAATGTAGACATTAACTTGATTCCATTAACAGCTTTAATCAATTAGGATATTTCCTGATGCTTGCTGTAATCAAACACTTTATTCCTTTCATTCACCCTGTGATACCTCTTTTCTTCTGCCTACATGTATCTCAGCCAAAATGTTGTGATATAAAAGAGAATACACACATGCCAACCCTGGCTTCTTTCCTATGTATAGATTGCCTAAGATGGCAGTCACTGGTTTGATTTGTAATCCAAGGACTGTCTCAAATTGTATGTACTCAAGAGTGTAAAAGTTACAAAAAAGTATAAATTAAATTTGCATACATGGTTCACAAGCTTAACCTTTCTGAATCCTATTTTCAGCTTTTCTAATAAAAACATTGTATTTTGGGCAGTGCAAATTTGTTGATCTGTCGTACCACCTGTTTCAGTTCTGTCTATACATGTAGGTAGTTTTGTATCTCATAATTTGAGGACATAACCTGCTTGCAACTCACATTTACATGTACATGAACATAACATGTTTACACGAGATATTCCTTGAATGGGTATTATGAATGGCTAATAAATATTCATTACTCAGACACAAATTAAAAAAGTTTGAGTCTTTGTGAATGTCAGTGACTCAGATGAATGGCAATTGTTGGTTTCCAACTGTTTGCAGTCAGTTGATAACCCAGTGGTTATGAACAAATTTCAGGGAAAAAAATGTGGACACGCGATCTGAAAATCACGTCTGAGTAGAATGGACTTTGAAAACCAAGCTTTTTGAAAGCTAAGTGTGAATTTTTCTCCACGGAATACATTATTCACAAGTGCATGTAGACAAAACGTTGTGAAAATAGAGTGCCTCACACTGCAGAAGTTACTTCTTAATTTTTTTAACACTTAGTTAGTTTTAAACTACACATTAGCTCACCTTTCACTGGAATTCCAATATTCTGTCAAAATAAGAAAATAACCTGTACAATATCCTCAAGACTGAAAGGTTACCACTTACAGGAATTGCGAAGTCAAGACAACGTCTACATGGTAATACATTTCAAATAAATTCATTTTTTTTAAAAGGAAAACCTGGGCTCCTTAGAAGCTGACTCCACCTCTCTCTCGGTAGAAGCCAAGACGGCTCTGATTATGAACGGTAGAAGCCAGCCCCAGCATCACGTCGCACTCGATAGGAGCATCCACGATGGTGACCGGACTGGAGGATACATTGTTGAGTGCCTGATTCTGCTTGATACGCCAGTTGTTGATAGCCTGGATGTAAGCATTCTTGAAGGGATCAATCTGGAATGAAAGAAGCACACCTTGTGAACTGAACATCATCAACTCCAGGGGGAAATCAGAGCTGCAACTTGAATATCATGATACATGACTCACTCCCACCCAAAACAACACCCTGGGGGACTTTGGGACACTGATGGAAACAGACATACCAGTCCTTTTTCAAGGTACAGTGCGCCTGCTCGGAACAATGCAGGCATGCTCGGAACTGGTGAAAGGACCATATGTTTGCCGCCCTCAAACATAATAAAGTCTTCCCTTCATACTTCCTAAATATTTTACATGTTGTAAATGTGTCTAAGAGTCAACTACACTGAGGAGTACCCAGTGCTGTTCCAAGACCATTTCTGGCCAAATCCTGGAGCCACATTGTCTAAGCTTTAAGTGTCTCGCCACATTCAAATGGATGACAAGCCATTATTAGCCAAAAAAGCCTGAACAATGGCATTAATGGCATGAGGGAGATATGAACCCTGGACCATCCTAGCCAACTTCCAACCCCAATCCTACCTGGTAGGTCTCAGTTTCAAGAGTCCCACTGCGCTCTAAGGGATGACTTGTCAGCCTCAGCCAAAGAACCTTGACCAATGCCATGAGGATGATCTGAACCCTGGACCATCCTAACCAACTTCCAACCCCAATCCTACCTGGTAGGTCTCAGCTTCACGAGTCCTACTGTGCTCTAAGGGATGACTTGTCAGCAACAGCCAAAGAACCTTAACCAATGCCATAAGGTAAATATGAACCCTAGACCATCACAAATGACTTCCAAAACCCCAAGCCTACCTGGTAGGTCTCAGCTTCACGAGTGCCACTGTGCTCCAAGGGATGACTCGTCAGCGTCAGCCAGGGAATGGTTGAACAAAATGGATTCCAGCGTTCCATGAATGTTGGCTGGCGGCCGTGGCTCCAGATGATGCGTAAACCAGTGCCATCCCTAGGGCTAAGCAAGAAAACAAATCAAATGGATTATTAACTAAAAGTCTTCACCCTAGAAAGAGCAAGATTCTTTAGGACCATTCTATGGCCAGAGGGTCTGAGGAAGATTGTGCCCCCCCAAACTCAACTGTCTCACACCTGATCTTTAACTTAGTACATTTGTAAAGACTCTCTTTGTCAGGACAAATGTGAAGTTTTTAACTCACTTATAAATGGTTTTGTTTCAGCAGTCATTTGAAGTTCAAGGTCACATGCGTGTCTCCCCTCTTGCATCGAGCATGTCAGTGGAAAAACTGTATGTGTACATATTTGGCTGACTTTTTCGGGAAAAGTGGATGCTGCATGAGAACAGTGTGACTGACTTTCACAAAATTGGTGTCAAAAAATGATTTTTAGACATTACTGAAAAAACTTTTGAGGGCTTAGTACATGAAAAAATGCACCACAATGATACCGGAAAATTGTTGAGGGTTAAATGAATGGAAATGTACAGCAATTATATATACACAGCAAAAATCAACAGGGAACCTGTGACAGTGTTTACAGAATGCATGATGTTTTGATTGGTAACTTGGCTAAGCCTAAATATCTAATGTTGTACACACACTTACCTGACCAAAGACTTTTGTGGGTAGGAAAAGACCCCTATCTGCAATGCATCGACAGCGATATGGTTGATGCGTTGGAACTGTCGGACTGCACCAGCAACAAAGTCATACTTGACCAACAAGAGACTGTTGGAGGTCACAATGATAAGGCGTTCCTTCTCGTTATCCCAATGGTCAATTCTGCAGAAAGAGTATCGACAGATCAGTAAGAAGGAAAACAAAATCATCACGTGAAATATTAGACCTACCATGCCTACAGTCCTCAATCTTTAAGCTGTTGGAGGATTAACCCTAACCTTCTCCAACCACACAGAATTAAACTGTAGTAAAGTGTTTAATTCTGTGGGGATAGGTCTGGTAGGCCCATAACAGCTGGCTTTTGCATTGGGTTTGGCATACCTCAGAAAAACAAAGTCCAACAGCCTGTGTGCACCAAGTCCCATATGGGTGTTTAACTTTGTGTGAATGGGGAAGGTTAGGGCCAGCAACCCTTGGGGGGTTAGGGTTAAAAGACTTATTGGTTAGTATCTGTCGTCATTTAATGTGATCCACTATGATATTGCAGAACCACGCTGAAGATTTGAATACAATGTTCAATGTCTAAGCCATTATTTGGAAGAGATACTACATGTAATAAACACATGGACACTACAAATTAACAACTTTCATTGTTTTTAATGTCAACAGCTCTCTGCGGACAAAATGTTTAGCATGGATCACTCTAGAGTAAGAATATTTACAGTCATGACAGTGGGGGGAAAGGAATTTTTAATGATTGACATTTCCGTCTGTACATGTACATGTACTTCAACCAGGTTCTGGAATGGTGTGCTACATGTACATGTAAATTCCAGCAACATGCTGGGGCCAATTTCATAGTACTGCTGAAGCAAAAAGTTTGTCAATCAATTTGTATATGGAACATTTTGAAGGGCATCAAGCCCAAGACTAAAGGACTCAAAGCAACTGCCTCCGATACTTCGCTGAAGTTCCTGCCCGATAGGTTTAACCCTAACACTCCTCAATCCTTCACCTGTTGGAGGACTGAGGAGTGTTGGGTTTAATAATGGTCTTAGTTTTCAATCTCTAGAAATCCTGAACTCACTCTGTCAGTAGCCACACACCATGAACCTCTCCATCCATATCATCTTTGATAGTTGCCTTCTTACACTCAAGAACGGCTGATTCAAGACGTCCCATCTACCAGTAGAACAAAACAAATTAATTCTCTACTCAGATATGGCTGACAAATAAAAAAAAAATTTAAAAGAAAAAGCAATCGGTACTACGGTAACACAGCTGAAACTTTATCTATATATTGCAAATGACCATCTGCAAAGTACAGGTTTTCTTACATGTACGAATACACAGGTACAAGAAACGATACACCTTTTACATAAACAGCACTAAGTTATTTTAGCGCTTGACTTTCGAGTGTAATTCATGACACTAAATCTGATGGTGTAACAGTGACTAATAAATTGGTAATTTATCCTTCTCTCTGACTAGCATTTTAATGAACATGAGTATCAGTTGCATCTATCTGACAGGCCACATCTGATAATCATTGCTATCATTGCACAAGATTATTGTGCGTTCAAATGCCAATCCTCATACACATGCTCAACATAAAAGCTGCATTACCCTAGAGTATGTCCTGCTTGCAAAATAATGTACACGTACCGGTAAATGAAAGCCTATCATATCATTTTTAAGTGCATCTACATGTACAGGTGTATATCATTTTAAATACATGTACACACAAATACATGTACATGTAGTGAAATGTATACACTGTCCGTAATGTACATGTACATTGTACATGTATCACATGATGTAGGAACTACAAGTACGTTTTAACAATACAAAATTTTATTTGTGAAGCTGGAACAGTGCTGGTACAAATAAACAGGTACCTGTACGCGTGTGTGCATGTCCATGTACCAGTGCTTTCCCTACTACCCTACTATCAGTTTAAGCGTACCGGTAGGTATTGAGGGGGGTCAACTACGTATAAATAATAGAATGTATTCTGTGATTTAAGCAGTTGAGTTTACAGGTGCATGGGACAAACTCTGGTACCATACTCAATACTACGATATGTATGATAAATCTCATCTGCTCTGCAGAATTTTAAGAAATACATGTAAAACTGTGCTAAATTTCTCGGAATAGACTGAAGACTATACATTTCAATGACTCAAGACAGGATAATGCATGCGTAATTTGGAAACGACTTCTTTTCAAAAGAAAAAATAATTTGAATGAAATTTAAGGATACTCTTTTCTTGAACAAATCATGAAATATTCAGTGCTGATCTTTTGGCCTCAGAGCTTTGTTTTTTAGAGATTTGCTGGCACAATGCCGTATATACATGTATGGTATAGTACATGTAGTTAACCCTAACCCTCCTCAATCCTCAATGTTGGAGGACTGAGGAGTGTTAGGGTTAATATTGAACAACATAAAATAAATGAAACTGGTATTGATATGCTGTACAAAGTAAATCTGCTCTTTGTCTGTGGCAGAACTGCAGATGAACCTAATGAACTCCGCCATGGGAGGTGATTTCAGTGATTCAATCAATTAATATGCAAATGATGTTTATTGTCCAGTAACCTTGTAAAGACCATGGAACAGTGTCAATATAAGGTCAATATATGAGGGCCAGGTGCATATTGTACATACATGTACATGTACATGGTGTTGTCATTATGTACAGCACACTAATACTGCCTATACAAGCACAGCACCATGCTATTACCTGACAGCAATACATGTCCATGTAAAATGTACCCTTCATGTAAGTCAACACGAAATCTCTGTCACCTTCATGAACAATACAGTACATGTATATATGTACATGTACATTCCTGTGGCTATAATGCATGGCAGGAACTTCATGGATGCATCGAAGGCAACTGCCTTGATGCCTCTGGGCTTTGCCTCAATGCCCATTGAAATGTCCCCACAGACAGGTTGATTTTAGAAATATGTAGTTCCATGTGCAGATGCCAGTAATTATTCCCTACAGTGACCTACAGTATTAGCCGTCAACAAGCAAATGTGTCCAGGAAAGTTCAATTTACGAGGGAAAATACCAAGTTGTTTACTTAGAAAACACATAGAATTTTTTAGACTAGTCTCTTGGGTTTGTGCACAGAGTGTCAGAGTGCACACTCTTTCCTGATTTTCAAACACAAGTGCCCTTTGCAAATGAGAAATTGTCTTGTCAACAACAAAGTTCCTGCCCTGATAATGGACAGAAATGTTGACATGTAAAACACAGTGTGCCCGGTACAGTAACACAGAGGTACATGTACCTATACACTAGTTTTTATTCACACCATCAGGACCATGGTGCAACAGGTGTAATGCTCATGGATGCTGGGTAACTGCTGTTTGGTCAAGCGTGACTTAACAACTCACATGATTATGACCCTGCCCAGCAGGTGGATTGCTGCATTTGTAATGAGATGTACATGTAGGGGTGGCTAACCAGGTTATATAGCATTGACCATGACAAGACAGACCGATGGTACTTCAACAATGGTATCATGTGACCATGACAATGGCATTCAATATAAAAGTATGTTCTTGAAAACAGTGTAGTAATTTTTAAGGCAGAAAATTTGTTGGATATTGAATTCCAACAGATTGTTCATGAGTCACCATGTGGCTCAAACAAAAAAATTGCCCGGCCGTGGAAATTCAAATAGTGGGTGGGGGGCGGGGGAGATTGCTAGACACCAACTTAATATGATATTGACATGATTTAGCAGATAATCTCATGCAATTGTACTCAATTGTGATAAATATTACAAGCATATTATGAAGCTAAATACCACTTAAAACATAACATCTCACCCCTTCCACATTTTTCTGCTTAATTTTTTGATCTGAAGTCAGAGCTTTGAAAAAAATGGTTGGCCCTACTTTTTACTAAAATATTTTACAAATCTATAGTCTGTATATGCAGGTTTACATGTGGATGCAAATTCTTTTTTAACCCTTAGTAGGCCTACCCCTTCGTCTTCGAAGACAATTATATTTTAATACAGTAAACACATAAAACCAAATTTCATAAAAAGAATTTCATACATGGACAACACTAGTTTTCCCTTATAAAAACCATCAGAAAGTGATGTCCTAGAAAGCGACATTTGGCTAAGAATATTACTTAGCATTTACGGGAAGAGTTCCATATGGACACCAGTATGTAATTATCCCCTACAGTCATCTATTATTAGCAGCCAGAAAGCAAAATCATGTCCAGAAAAGTTCAACAAGTTCAGGAAGGAAAAAAACAAGTCGTTTTGGCCGACTTACACATGTTAGAAAACACAGTTTTTCCGACCAGTATCATATGGCTTGGGCACAAGGTTTCCAGTGGCGTCCGATGTGCAACTCTTTCCGCATTACAGTTAGAAAACACCTAGGCCTATGCGTGCTACATAACATGGAATAATGTAGTTTTTTCAGACAAGTCCCATGGGCCAGAGATAGATTGGCACTGGGTCTCAAGTGTTGTCCGTATATGGAACCCATTCCCCAAATTTTAACAAGTAAACATTAACTTAATTTACAATTGTTAACATGAGCATACCTTTGAAGCATAGAATCCATCCTGCACCACGGGAGAAAGAGGCGCGCTCTTCGGTCGACCTCGAACAAAATTTGCGTTGTTGACGTTGTTCAATGGCAGCGAAGTAGGCGCGGTAGGTTTGCGTTCGTCGTGCAAAAGATTGGTTTCAACATTGCTAAGGGATAATGTTCCACCCTGGAATGACACGTCGGGTACTGAACCATCGTCCAAATTATCTTCTATGTTGGTATTGCCATTCGGTTCCTGTTTATCCGTCATTTTTGCAAGGAATTTCGCTTCTTACTTCGAGAGAAGTGGCTTGCTGATGACGATGAAATGATACCGTCTGGTTCCTAGTACACATATTTCTGAGCTACATGTCTTACAGATTGAAACGTTTGCATTAAATAGTCAGGTTCATCGACATTATTCCGACGGCTGTTTTATAACAAAATTCATCAAAGGAAAAGTACTGAAAGAAATAAAAGCGTAAACATACAGGCAGGCCTACCTGGCAGAGAATGTAGTGTTCACACACATTTTTTCAGGTCGCAAAAATTTCACCTAGAGTGCAATCATAAAACAGCGACTATTCCTGGAATTTAACGTTAAGAAAACGTTGAGGGCGTCGTCGTTGCTGCAGTTGATCGATGGCTTCTGCACGATTTGCACGCGAAGAGGTTCGTTGTTTCCACTTTTTTTTAGAGTACGTTCCCCTTAGTTGGTCTATTTCATTTTATCGGTGTTCTGATGATACACTGACATGACTGATGGGAAGAATTCCATATACGAAGTTCACTGTGTTCACATGCTTAACTCAGTGAAAACTGTGACCTTGATGGTTGATTGCATTGTTCATATTATAGTTTGCACATATACATGAAACATGGGGTTCATGGCATTAGCACCCCGTTCCTTTAATAAGGAAACAAAGTCCACTTTCTCAAACTAACTAACATTTTGACCAGCCTTAAGGAACTACTACTCAATCTGGATAGCTGTAGTTAAGGTAAATTTTAACGATATTTAAGCAAGAAAACTTAAAATTTTTAACCCGAGTTTGGCAAAAGACAACCACTCACTCAGTCGAATCACGCCATTTGTTTTCATCCGTTTTGTGTCCTTCCTCCATGGGTTACCTGACTCAGGCTTTTTGGATTTATCAAAACAAATCTCCATCCAGGTCAAGGCACCAGACTACATTCGCGTATTTGTCGTTCACAGCTACCTTCAGGGTGGTCATGTACGTTGCCGTTTTACCCAAACATTTCTCTCAAAACCAAAAGCCCTGTTCTTTTTTTTCTGTTCTGATATGTAAGAGGACATCACCAACAACTTGTCTAGATAAGTTACTTCAAAAAAGTAGGATTTGTTCTCTTATAATAAGAACAGGGTTCATAGAAGTTCAACTACAGACACATGGCAGACTACATGTACATGTAGGTGTCCCAACCAGAAATACAATGTAGAAGCCATTACGGTGGTGGTACAACGTTTGTGGACCAGTGGTACATGCGTGCGCATTACATACATGTACCTCTTCAACCAATACTGTAGGGTGTCGTGATTTGCCAAATGCACGCATGTGTACAGTATGTCAAGCTGAAGAATGTACGTGTGAGTGTAGTGCCATTGCAGTGTGGTTGCTACCTGCAATTTTGTGATACTCCTAGATGTCCGCACTGCCCTATAGCTATCGGTAAATAAAAGCATCGTGATATAGGTTATTTATAGATCATACATGTACTCATAGAGAGATGCAGTAGATCAGGTCTCTGAAATTGAAAAGGATGTACAAAGTTGCAAGTATAAAACATAACCATATTAAATGAAGTACATTCATCAATGTTATGGTTTATTTTCCTTCATAATGTGTACACAGCACATTGAACAAGCCGAATTGAAGGAGGATTTTCTGAGAGAATAGAATGTCGAGCTCAGACCGTAAGAGCAGAGACGACAACCTTCAGCAAAAGAAGAAGAGGAAAGACGATGAGAAAGATTCCTGGCATGTGAAGTCATTGGAGGAAATTCTTGAAGAGAAACGACAGCGAAAAGAACGAGAAGAAAGAAAACAGGTGCAGAATTTAGAACAATACTGAGTTTTTCCTGAAGCTAGAATAAAGCACTTAAAAGTCAAATGCCTTTGAACATTGTCGTAGTTTCATCAGCTGTGAACAAGGGGCAATTTTAAATATTTAAAACAGTCCAAGAGTTAATTTCTACAAAAAGGAAGAAACAGTAGTATCATTTCTAAGGAGTCTCTTCATGCATTTTTTGTAGAAAGAGAAAGACGACAAGAAGAAAGATCCCAAGTCAGTGAAGTTGAAGCATCTGGAGGCAGTAGATTTGACTCAAGAGATGAGTTCCAGTCATTCACCTCAACGAACTAGACATACTTCATCAGGAGATGACAGGTATTGGCCGTTGTTTAAAAGTGGTTCTCAAGTCAAAATGTCACAATACTGATGAATACAGACAAGCAATTTTTTCTCAGATCAGGTCATTTCCTCATTTCTCAGTCATGCCATTGAAAATTGAAAAACACTCTACGAAGTCTTGTAAAGATTGGAATTTCCTTGTATTTTGTCAAAGTCCAAGTTGCACGCCTGTGAATAATGACCTTGCAAGTCTAAATAATGGGGTAGGTTAATTGTAATAAGAGTGTTTCATTTTGAGTTGTTTTGTTTTATTTATTCACTGGTTGATCTTTTTTCAGGATGGAGGAAGATGATCATCTGCAGATTCAACCCCCACAGCTTGGAAAATTAAAGGGCAAAGATTCTCACAGCAAGGAAGACAAAAAGAAGCACTCCAAGTCACGGGACAAAGATGACAAACGACACAAAAGGCGTATGTAAAGCAAAAAGTCTGAATTTGTAGGGCAAAATCTTTAACCCTAGCTCTAACATTTTTGAAGTGTTCATTTTTTATATTTTGTGAGATGGAATCATTTAAGTCATTGTGATGTTATTCTTGCATTTGCAGGTAAACGTTCTTACTCTAAGGACAAATCTAGGAGCCGTGACCGTGGCCACCAGTCTAAAGATCGAAGAAGAGATGACCAAAGGTCATCAGCTGTGTCAGGACCAAGAGATCGACGCCACGGCGAGTCACATCGATACCAAGGAGATGGGTCTAGGCATCAAGACTCTCGTCATGTAGAGATCATTGGGGAGTCTGGGAGATACGTTGATGCTGGGAGACACAGTGAATCAAACAGACACAGTGATGGAGGACGATACAGTGAAGCAAGTCGAGTTGGGGATCAGGATAGACATGGTGATTCAGACCGGTACCGGTTTGAACGGGAACAGTCAAGACGAGAGAGGTATGTCCTGTTGGTCCATTTGTTTGTCCACCTTTCTCCCTGCTTCTTAAAATATTCTTATTGAGCTATATGTATTAGTTGTGATTGTTGTTCATTAGGATAATTCATGCATGCAAAGCGAAACTGTGTTAACCCGTTGACGATGGGAATTTTTTTCAGAAAGCCGACTCCGAGAATTCCATCCTCGCTTGGACATGAAGGCCACCTGCCAAACCGCAAATTCTCGGTTTGTGGCCCTGCGTGCTCTGCATGCTTTGATTTACACAGTGAAAAGACTCCTTGTTCGGTGGCATACGGCTCTGCTCACGCTTCCACATTCCCGTTGCCTCTTTTCAAAGTGGGGACTATTGTGAAGCTGGTGATTATGATGCAAATTCAGTCTTTTCATTTCTGGGCTACACACAAAGGCCAATCACCATATATACAAGAGCCAGGGTCTGCCTTCTTTCACCGTGTTTGCTCGAGCGTGGGCCGAGAATAATAGCTGAAAAGCGGGCTGAGGATCTCAATTTTTACGGTGGCTCTTACCGTCTCCCGGCGCGAAGGGGTTAAGAAAAACAATTAAATCTGAAGGTTACCCTTGTTTATAATTTTGTCTGTTCTTGTAACATCTATGGTAGTCAACCCTGACCCTTAGCCATCCATTGACATCCATAGCAAGATTTTATAGGATTTTGAAGAACCACAAATGATGCACATTTTAATGACAATCTGACCTGACCTTTGACCTCAGAGAAAGACTTGAACGACTCGAAAGAGACAGGCAGAGGGATCTGGTAAAGAGGGCAGACAGATCAACTTGGGAAGGAGAGAGAGGCGGTAGAGACAGGGATAGAGGGAGGAAGGAAGATGAATATTGGAAACGAAAAGAGGGTAAGTCTTTGTTGGTGTGGGTGGGTGGATTGCGTTGATCTAGCTTGATTGAATAAGTCCTTGAATGGTTTCGTTTGGGTTGGAATGTTGTACATCACCAGACCAAATTGGTGGTTGAAGTTTCTAGTTTGTATTTCATTAATAAGATTGAATTGCCTTGCTCTGATCTACATAAATTTCATACTTCAGAAACTATTGGTACTCTTTTGATATTGGTTTCCTGGATTCTCTAGCAAGATGTCTGCGAAACTGTTTTGCTTTCCAGAATCAAGATATGACAGTCGAGATCGTGAGAGGCAGGATAGAAGGAGAGAAGGAGGTGAGCAAGACAGAGGAGAGAGGAAGGAGGCAGTGGAGAGAGATCGCAGTCCACACAGAGAACAAGAGGGTAAGACAGACAGTCTGACACACAGAGACACAGAAGATAGCTCACAAGGAAAAAAGATACCTCAGATACACACCACCAGCAGACTGACCCAAAGATGTTGAAACATGATATTTATGAAAAGTCAAATTTGTTTGAGGTAAACAAACTTATTTATAATAGAAGTTGTACAGTTTGATAAAAGGTTGGAAACTTGAGAAGCATCCCAAGAAGATACAAATCACAAGAATAAGGAGGGAGTTTTTTTCTAGAGAATCAAATTAAACAGTATCAAGGCATGGTTCAGAAGTCATATATAAACTGAATAACCTCAATGATACATCTATTACAGACATTGTTCAAATTCATCAAAGATTTTATCTGGATCAATTTATATTTATTACAGCAACCAAACTCTTAGAGAAATCTGACAACAAAGATAAGGAGAATGAGCAAAAACCTCAGAGTCAAGAACCTTCCAGCACTACAACCAAGATGGTAACAGATGATGCTAGCAGCAGTAGCAGTGAGGAGCAGGACTCCTCGTCCAGTGACAGCGAGGATGGGGAGTCTGGAGACCAGTCAGGCAAGGAATCAGGGGAGGAGAGTGAGCGAGGATCCGATGCCAACTCCTCCAAGGAAGACTCGGATTCAGAGGAGGAGTCTAGCTCAGAGGAAGGGGAGGAGAATAGCGATGAAGACGACGATGACGAAGAAGACGGGAAAGAGGAAGGGGAGACAGCTCAGACGAGCGACGAGGAAGAAGAGTCGTCTGAATCTGAGGAGTCTGAGTCTGAGTCTGAGTCAGGCTCAGAGTCAGGTACAACAAATAAAGGCTATGTTTAAATGTTATGGCTGGGGCTTGGTGTGATATCTTAACCATGGTAGCCAGAGGCTAGTGGCTGCATCCAGTTGCCATAGACATGTGTGTTGCTCCAAGGCACTGGCAGTTGATTTTGACATGGCTTTGGCTGGAAGTTACACAGGCACCTGTACTCAAAGCCACAGCCTTGATGGAATTTGAACTTGTCGAGTTTGACGTTGCTCCATTGGCTGTACAGTGAAACTGTGTCTGCTTGGCAGTGTCTGTCCAGCATCTTTCCTTTTCAGTGATGAAGACTCATTTGTGACCCACTCTGTGAAAATGAGCCTTAAGTCGCCAGAGCCACAGTGTAAGTCAATAGGAAGCCACAGCATTTTTCACCATGGAGTATCCACATTCATCAGGGCGCCAAACTGAGTGTTACATTAAAAAAAACTCGATTTGCTCTTTCCAATACAAATAAAAACTCAAAAAGTGGCTCTGGGGACTTAAGACTCATTTTTACAGAGTGGGTCACATTTGTGTACGGTGTTCTTTCTTCATTAATTTAAAACTGTAGGAATCAACACTTCATATTTGTTCAGCTGCACTTCTTTTACTGCTTCTTGGGTCATTCTGTAAATTTGGGTCCAATTTTCTTCCTGTCCTTGTCACATCTGGCACATGATTTCTAAGGTTAGAACACACTCTTCACTTTCCAAGAGTGATTAAGTAATGAAATTACTTGTCAAACAAATGAAATAGTTTGAAGTCAATTTCCGTGATATATCCGTGGTTAAATTACACAGGTTGGTTGTAACAGGGGCAGAGAAATGTCCTGTGTTGGATCCCAAATTCGTTTACCAATTTGTTTGTTGTTTTTTTTGTCTTCAACTTCAGAAAATGCCAGCAGCAGTGACAGTGAACACAGCGAACATGAAAAGGAGACCAAGAAAGATGCTCAGAAAATCAAGACTGAAGAGAAACATCGTAAGTTGTCATCTCTGTTGTTACACTCGTATGATTGTCTTATCTTTCACGGATTAGAATTCTGACTGACCTGTCCACAGGGTGCCAATGTACCTTGAAATGCTCCTTTTTCAATGCTTCGGATGTTGGTTCAGTTTCACCGTTGTTTTGGTTGTGAACCGTGAGCTGGACCAAGAGAGGGTGCAATTTTCTTGGCAACGGAGGCTCCTTTGGTTGGAAGTGAACTTCGCTGGTTCACAAATGACGAGGAAACGGACGCATTACAGTGGCCTCACCACTAGCAAAATGCGCATTCCAATATGGCTCTTTTCAACCAACGAGGGAGTGCTTCTGCTCGCAGCAGATTGAAAATGTTATAATCTTTTCAGTTTTTCTTAGTATGCAATTCCAAAACATTTGTTTGCAGTATTCTGACTTAAATATTCACAATCTCCCAGTAAACCACTCCATTGAGAAGTTACTGTTGACTTTAAGGACGTATTTTTCTGACGCAGATGTCCAGAAGTCCAAGTTTGACGTTACATCCTCCCCAAGTGGTGATGAGGGTCACACTGAACACATTGATTACTTGCCTGACTCTCCTCCACAATCTCCTGTTGAGTTGAAGGAAAAGCTACCTGCTTATTATCCAGCTGTCTCAGGATGCCGCAGTGTTGAGGAATTTGTCTGCTTGAATAAGATTGAGGAGGGGACTTACGGAGTTGTGTACCGGGCCAAAGAGAAGAGAACAGGTAGATGACCAGTTGATTCTTGCAAAGTTTGGAAATGATCACTGGATAGAGAATGTAGTTGTTCATGCTGTTGTTTTAATTTTTTTTTACTGTGTGGTAAGTTTGTGCGACTTGTCTTGCCTGAGAATCCCAAACCACCTGTCCATTAATACCTTCCAGTTAATAGCCATCTGTTCAGTTTAACTACAGTCTTAGTTTCGTCATATTAAGATAAAACCTTGTCCAATGGAGTTCACATCCACTGTCCATGCTCTTTTTTGATTTATGCGGTTGACATACTAATGTATCATGCTTTTATGGGTACCAGAAATAACTGGTTAAAGAAAGAATTTTCCTTGTTCTGTTCTATCAATAGTTAATATTCACTGGATCAATTCATCGAGTTGAACTGGCTGAGAAGTACAGCAGTTGACGCATTTGTTTATTCTTGCAGAGGAAGTAGTTGCCCTCAAGAGACTGAAGATGGAGAAAGAAAAGGAAGGATTTCCAATCACATCCCTAAGAGAAGTCAACACTCTCCTGAAAGCACAACATCCAAACATAGTCACCGTCAGAGTGAGTGTCAATTCAGTTTCGGAGGAGTGGGATGTTTAAGGAGGTTGCTTCTGTAGAGGGGTCTTGCTACACTCTCAGTCTTGCATAGTGTACGGGGGAAATTGGAGAGCCAGAACTATTTTAAGCGATGATGAGATAAGATTAAGCTGCCTTTATCTTTCTTTACGATGTCTTGAGACCTGGATGAGGTTTGCACCGGATGATCAAGCGTACAAAAATTACATCGTAGGGTCACACAAGTTGCTGACAAGGCCCAGACTTTGCAGAAGATGTGTTAAGATGTGAAAATCACAAATATCTTGTAATTATACATTAATGCTTTGCTGATTATTCATGTTGGTCTTGAATTGAGTTTCCTTTCAAGGCAGGCACCTGAAAGCAGCAATTCAGCGATATTGGAGTCTTTGTGAAATTAATTGGTACCAAGTTTCCTCTGTCTCCTTTGCCACTTTTAAGGAAATTGTTGTCGGCAGCAACATGGATAAGATCTACATTGTAATGGACTATGTGGAACATGATCTGAAGAGTTTGATGGAGACGATGAAACAACCGTTCACAATTGGTAAATTGATGGCTAATTCTAAGTTTTCATTTGAGGTTTTACCATTTCACATTTCTGGTGAAGCTCTTTACACTCCCAGAACATAACGTGGCGCAGATACTTGAAATCCAAATTCCTAGAGTACCATTTGAATTTATTTTTCTACACAGGGAGGCACTATTCCAAGTTAAGTGGAGTGGAACTCATGAAGTAAACCTTGCAGCAAAGTTTACATTTTACAATAAATTCCATGAAATTACAATCACACTTCAGGTTACTTGGACCAACTTGCAAATCAGGTTCTTAAAGTGCCCACTTATTGTGGTGGATTCCACTCTTGGAATCATTTCAGGAGAAACCAAATGCCTGATGCAACAACTCCTTCGTGGCGTTCACCATCTCCATGACAACTGGATCCTCCATCGCGACCTTAAAACTTCCAACCTACTACTAAGCCACAGAGGACAGCTAAAGATTGGTGATTTTGGTCTGGCTAGGGAGTATGGATCGCCACTGAAGAATTACACACCTATTGTGGTTACACTCTGGTACAGAGCCCCCGAGTTGCTACTTGGCATAAAGGTAATGAACTGTTATCAAGCTAGGGAGTACAGTTCAGTGTTGAATCATGATACACCTGTTGCAGTTAGTATTGGTACAGATTCTAAGCTTAACTACAGGACACACAGATTAATTGTTATGGGACTGAAAAGGCTATACAGAAAGTAATAAAGTAAAAGTGGGGACGAAAGTTTCAAGTCATCACTTTCCCAAACCTGTAGAGTTAATTGAAAATCATTTGACTTACCCCTTCGCTGGTCTTCATTTTCAGGAGTATTCATGCCCCATCGATCTCTGGTCAGTTGGTTGCATCTTTGCTGAGTTTATCATGATGAAACCTCTATTTCCTGGACGATCGGAGGTCGATCAGCTCAACCGAATCTTCAAGGTAGTCTGTCAAATCAATGTGTTTGGTCTGATTTCATTTTGTAATTTCAAACTGTCATTTCTACCTTTTATTTTCTTTTGAACAAGAATGGCCTTGAAAGTACTCCTTATGTCAGTCACCTGATGTGTTTCTAACAATTAGAATTCTTCCACCCTCTTCAAGGTTTTGGGTCCTCTCGTATAAACATGGGTTGCTTTGCTGACTTATTTAGGATTTGGGGACCCCCAGTGAGAAGATCTGGCCCGGCTATAACGAACTTCCCGCTGTCAAGAAGATGACGTTTGCAGAACATCCCTATAACAATCTTCGTAACCGCATTGGCACAATCATGACGGAATCTGGCTTTGATCTCATGAACAGGTAACTCAATCATTACTCTTATACGTTAGCGTTTTGTTAAAAGTTGGACGCCTGTTTTGTGAACTTATACCTATTTGTGGCAGATCAAGTCCCATTCTATCACAGGAAAATAAAGAGAAAGAACGAGCCATAGCCCTCTGGGTTCCTTTAGTTTAAAGAAATTGGATTGATTGTAATGTAGAAATTGGATTGATTGTAATGTAGAAATTGGATTGATTGTAATGATGATCCAATTTAAAAAAGACCAGTGCAATGAAACTTTTAGTTTCATGCCCTTGTCACTATTATTTACCATCCTTGTAACTGGGGATTATTTTAGACTTATTTACTTTCATAAAATTTCAGCCTCTCACCCAGAAGTGCCTATTTCTCTTTCATAGATTCTTGACTTACAACCCTGAGCGTCGGATTACAGCAGAGGGCGCTTTGGGCCATGGTTACTTCCGGGAATCTCCCCAGCCTATCGACGAGTCCTTGTTCCCAACTTGGCCAGCAAAGAGCGAGATGCCACGCAATGCCAAACGCAGCCCCAAGCCTCCAGAGGGCGGTCTTCAGTATGCTAGACTGGTATATTTGCATTTGTGTAGTTTGCTGAAATCTGATTGTTGTAAGAGATCATTAGGTAAACCAAGGGTAACCAGCCCTCCCAAGGAATTTCTTGTCTTCCCCACAAAATGAAGGAGATCTTATTTTAAGCAAGACTTCATAGTAAAATATTTAGCAGGTTTTGAAATTTAGGAAGAATTTCCTTTTTATATGCCCAAATGGCAATAGTCAAACAAATAGGATGTTTCAAATGACCATGTGGAATATCTCGAGCCCATAATTCATTTTGTTTGTGCCTCTCTTTTTTTTTTTTCCTCTGTCTCACAGGAAGAGGAAGGAGCAACAGAGGAAGGTTTCCGACTGACGTTAGCATCCCAGGGAACATCAGCCAAAACCACAGGATTTAATCTTCGCTTTTAAATTCTACATGATGGTAGAAGCTTATTTTTTACAAGTCTGTGCTCGAAGCTCCAGTTTCAAAATTAACGTAAACAGTGGGAAATTGTATTGTCAAGCTTACAGCCACAAACTTTGAGGCATGGGATAGTTAATAAAGAGTAGGCCTCATCCGAAGTGACCACAAGAGAGAGAAATCCTTTTATTCCTCATGGAGGGACGTAGAGTGACTTCTTTCATGTATTGTAAAACACTCACGAAGATGGCTCAATGGCATAATGTGCCTAAACAATCTTGACTTTCAACCTAATCTGCTATAAATTTTGAGTGAGCAAGTTGGTGTTTTGTTGCTTCTCTAACGTTTGTTAACTTCTGTCACTTAAAGACTTTACAACATCAAACACTGCCTGAAGGAATATTCAATTTTATACATATGTATGACCATTGGTGTATCACGGGGGGGGGAGGTTGTCACGCCCCCAAACTCCCCCTGCCCTGAGACCTGATTCTTTTTAAGGGGTTGAAAACATCAGCATGTTGGGAGTTGGGTAATGATTTGGTGCAGGTGAAGAAATTTGGACCGTCATCTTCAAAAAAATTCCATTTGTGTGTGACCTACTGCTAGTTATGCCGATTTCCGCTTTTTCAGTTTTGGAAAGTTGTAATGATGTTGTGTCATGCTAAATATTAATATAGGGCCAGTTCACAACCACAGTGACTTTCAGGCAAGTTTTCTGACTCAAAATTGTCATTTCAGTGACAATAGTTTAATAAAGCACTGACCAAGGGAGTAAGATCACCATGGCTCTCTACGTATTACATGTAACTCAAAGATGGCCTCTAAACATTCATAATATTGCATCTGGCTTATTTTTAAGTAACTTTCTTGAGTTCAAGTCTACTGAGTTGGGTACTGTTGAATTTGTCACAAATAAACATTTTGTAAATAATGTGTCTGTCGTGCAGGTCTCTAATTGCAGCCCAAATGTAAAAATCTGTCTAGGATTAGATGGTCTTATCGTTTGCATACATTCTTCAGTCGACTAAATAGGCCCTATTTTAAAGTTACATTCTCGCGGTCGGCATGATGTCACTACGGACTTAAACACCCGGCAAATGGGCAAATTTATCCTTCGTTATTCAGTAATGTACAGAAGTTCCTAGATGTCTGACAGTGAGAATGGGCCCTATTTTGGTTTCAACTTACCAAATTGAATTGTTTACCCACAACCTCGATGCTATCCATGGTGAAGAGAGGCTTTGCTCGTAAGCTGTTATACCGAGTTTTACTTCCATTCTGTCGGCCAGTAATAATGAGAACCATAAAGAGTATGGCTCCGCAGGAGCGCACAGTCAGGCCAGTAAATCTGAGCAGCCATGATAGCGTTGATACCAGCATACCTGCGCCAAAACGCACAAAGAGTAAGACCTGTGTTCTTGTTCCTACGTTGGCCTATCCGTGAAGAAAATTTCTGTTCTTCGCATCCTAACATCAGCGTTGTTGCCGAAACTATCTACTATCGAGACCCCCGTCCTTACTACGACCTCTCTACGTAACCGTAAATGGCGGGTGTTCTCGTGCGACGAATTTAAAACACGAGGATGCAATTGGTGTTCCAAAACATCTGGCTGCGGCAAGGAGTATTACGCGTAAACTATGGCAAAAGATTGTAGCCTCTGGCTAAGTTGCCGTCATAGGTGCACGCGCTATATATCAAGCCTCAGTCACAACTTCTGGACACTGCGCCGAAATGATGACTGCGCGCCTGTGACATGCCACTTTCAGCCAATCACAAGACGCTCTTGCACCTGCTCAATACACGAGCGCCAAAAGGTGTTGACTTTCTACAATTGGGGCCGTTTCGTCTGCAAGGATTTCCATTGCCATTTTTAGTAACTAACTTTCCGTATTGCTTTGAGAATGTTTAGCTCTCTGCGTGATATTTGAATCTTTGGGTGACACCAATTTTAAACTTTGATGTTTTTTTTTACGGTTCCGTTTGAAAAGTAACGCCCTGAGCATGCAGTTTTCTGCTCCCAGCATCTCTGATTGTTAGAATGGAAAAAAGTGGAGTTCAATAACGGATTATGTTTGATTTTATATGTATTCTGACAAGTTCATTTCTGTAATTGGCTCTTATCCTTTTTCCACTGATAAAGTGCCCTTATTGTCACAAATTCAGTTTGAACTCTTCCAAATATTAAAAACTAAGCACAACTCAACCAGATTCCCTCAAGAACAAAAATGAGTTTTTATTCAAATTCAGTAAGACAAGTCTGAAAATCAAGGCTATACAGCACGGAAAAATGTACATTGGATAATAGTCATTTACAAGCGAGTTGTGTTGATTAAAAAAGAAGTGAACACAAAAGACCTACAAAGGATTTGCTAGTTGTGAAAGGGGCAACTGACATGAATCCGTTCCAGAGGTATACCAACAAAATAATTTATGCACCTAAGTAGTCATGTTGTTATACAGCGAAATGGTCAATCATCTATTTGAACATTATGATTGGTTTGCAGCTACACTTTTTGCGCGTAAATCAAGTGATTCAAAATTACCGGTTTATTTATCAAATCAACACTTGGTCTCTGGTATCAAGGAATATATTTCTCCTAATATATGATATTTTCTACAAAACAAAGATTTTCTGTATAGAAGGCAGTTTGTGTTTAGTTTTATAAACTCCGAACTCACTCCCAGACTAAAACAAGGAAACTTTGGTTCTCTATTCCACCAACACTGTGAACCTGACTTCTTTAACTTGCAGCTTACAGCAAACAAGTTAAAGAGGTGTAAGGTATAATGCAGCAGAATTCTGAAATCACATAATCATACCGAGTAAAGCACATACATAAAATACTTATTAAACTGATGTGAAATGCCCAGGTTAACACTATGACAACCGCAAAGCGAAAGACTTCAACAGTCCTATCTAGATAATTAAACTGTTGTAGGTTTTGTCAAATCCCGGTTTTACAGAGGTAAACCAAAAAACATTCTACATGTACTCTGATTAAGATGTACAATTAATACACTAAATGCATTCTAAACACTTTGAATAATTTATTACAATCTTCTTTACTTTCTCAATGAAAGTAGTCACCATTCATGTTTCTACACAACACAAGTAAAACTTAAAGACCAAAACATACATCAATGGGTGTTTTACAGGTTGCGGGGAAAAAAATCAAGTTTTATGTTAACAAATCTAAGCAAAAAATTACAAATATAGTGTACAGTGACAACTAAAAAAGTAAAGTAAAAAAGTAATCTAAGTAACAAGTGAGGGAAAACTTTGGATAGAAAAATATATTTTCAGTTTCACTAACTTAGTAATAAGCCTAGTGCCTAAGAGTTCTATGAGTATGCCTAAACAAGAAAGGTTGTTCTGATGATAACTGGTCCACAGTCTCTCAATCTGCTACAGAGCAACACCCGGAAACGACAGATTTTATAACAAAGAAGCCATTTTGGGTCATGTGTCCTGAATATATCGTATTCACTGTAATCTGTTGAATGGGGTGGTGCCAGACTATTTTGGGTTCCAAGCCTCACTTTCATATTTTAAAGATCTGGTTCAAAACATTTCGATACAATGCTAGATCACAAATTTTAAACTATTCACCAGTGTAAATGACATGACAGTAATTTGCAATGACTTTTGATATCACAGCTTTTATTTTTAAGTTTCTAAACTAAAAAAATTATCTTGCTTTCAATTCAATACGGTCGACTTGTGAATAATACCAATGTCACTGTGCTTCTGGACAGACAATGCTGGTATGCAAATTTATGCAATAAGCAAAGAATAGCTGGGTACCAGTCATGAGTGTTACATGTGTACATAGCTTTGAGAGCTTGTTGGTGTCCTCATTTTAAGGTGAAAAGAATGTGTCAATAGTTAACATTATAGAAGCAGATTACAGCAGATTCAGACATCATTTTAGCAAAATGCTCATGGATAAAGATTTGCATAGCAGTTACTCAAGGTTAGAAATCTGCTGAGGAGAGGCAATCAACAGGCATGCATACTACACACAATGACAGACAGATGAGTTAGTACAGTCCAACCTCTTTAATAAGAAGATCAATCCTTTGGACTTTGCGGATGACTTTGTTGAAACAGGTCCCTTGTATTATTAGAAGTGAATACAGAGAATAACAAAGGATTGGGATCTAAAAATTCCCTTGTTATAAACTGAATGCTGTATTGAGAGTCCACTTATTAACGAAGTTTGACTGTACAGGAGTAAATATACTACATGAACATGTCTACGTAGTCATCTTATAGATTACATTCAGTCAATTTTCATTTGGCTGAAGAAAATCAGCATTACTTACATACAAGCTGTAGAAATGCACAAAGCACTCACAGATATTCCAATCAAACATGCAAGTATCTAAAATTATCCTTGACACAAAAGCTGTCATTTGAAAATCTCTGACAAACATTAAAATGCTTAGGTTTAGAACTGAACATTATAAAGAATATAAATTCCATGGACAAACTGGAATGAAATAAAATATCTACAACTTCTTAAGGTATTACACTCTGTGTTTACACACTCATGAAGGTACCTATTCCTATCAAATTACTAACAATGGTTAAGAACCTTCTGGTTCATATCATAATTTTCAGTGTTGTAGTTGAGTCCTTCACAAGTCCAGTCACACGTTCAGTCACAAAGGCAGTCGTAAGTAACAATGTGAACAATGATAGAAAAATGCTTTTGTCACAGCTCATTTGAATAGCTTGTGAATTGGCTTAAGACTGAATGACTTGTGATTGGTCTTTAATACAGGACTGGCAGGGACTTATGACTGACTCAAATACAACACTGATTTCTTCCTTTTGAAACGAATTCTTTACAAGATGTGATGTGATTGAAACGAATTGAGATCATTTCATTTTTATACAAATAAATTTGAAAACTGACAAGGCAAAATCAAACCAATTTTCAATCATGGTGCCCAACATTTTCCTGATGAATAAGGCTTTTCTCTAGTGCTATGTCTAGGTCTGAACCCATTGAAAAGATGCAGGGAAACGGTGACAACAGCCATAGCTGTAGCCCCGAAAGCAATTTCGGACACAGCCTTAAACACTTACTGTTACATTTGGAGATCAACATAATACAAGCAGGTAACAGATAACACATTGGCAGTTTTGAGTGAATATTTTTCAGTTTGAATAAATAGTTAGTAGACAGCATAACATCACTAAACTTACAAAATCAGGTCACCTTAAATGTCCCTCTCATCCAACGACATCCTCAAAAGTGTAGCAGCACATTTTAGAGGATCTTACCAGATTGAGGGAGGCACTACCAATCCACCTGTGTGGGTTCTGACATTTCTTCAGAGTCCCACTGCAACGAGTAAAGCCACAGAGTTCATGTGCAGTGTTGGACTTTTGAGGATTAAGGAAGGTTCTTGCAAAAGATGCCTTGGATGATGAGATTCCTCCCAAAATGCTTGTCATAGCAACGGACTATTAAGTACTAAGCTGAGAATTTAATTAAGAGGTAATAAGCCAACCAATTATTCCCAAGGCAAACAGGAGCATCCTGACGTGCAATCTGTATTCAAAAATAAATCATCATACAATATGTAACTCTTGAAAGTAACTAAAAAACAAACAGCGAAAAACAAAATCCCACTTCCTCTCAAAACATTAAAAATACTTAATGTCTAGAAATACCCTTTGCTCTTCATAAGCTCCCTCCCGCCTGGTGAAGGGGGATGTTTTAACCACAGGCTGCCGGGTGGAATTTACAAATGTAATATGCACTGCCGGGCAATTTTTCCATATTTTCCTTATTCAAAAATCTGAAAAAATTCATAAGTTCATTTACTAGATATTTACACCCACACAAATGACTGTCTGGTGGCTACTCTAAGTTGACAGGCAACCTCCGTTGAGGCCCAAGTTTTTCCACCAGGCCTGCTGCCTAGTAAAGAGAGCCTAGATTGTGCGGTGTTATGCAATTTCTTTTGTTCCCGAAATTGGCCCAGTGCGTTGCTGAATGCCAGTGGCGTCTTTTCAAATGTGGCTGGATAAGTGTGCAGTGGTACTTTATCGCTCATAGCTAGAGTGCTGGAGCATTTTTTTCCCCGCTGATAATCCGCGGGCGCTGAATGCCGCAAACAAAGGTATACTGTTTCAAAATAATGACGGATTACCTCCGCTAATGCCAACTGTAAAATTATGGCAAATCCCAGCAGCTTGGTCTTTTGTTCCGAGTACCATTTTTTGTTACAAGGCCCAGCTCCTTTGTCCAATTTCGGGCACCCCGGCTATGCATACAAACCCAAGGTGCCCGGTTCCGGAAACCCCGGCACCGAGTGGTTAAAGCCAATTCACAAGAAGCGATGTCTTCAGAGTAAATACTTGAATCTCAAGAATTGTATTGCTTTTTCCAAATCTTTTCCACAACACCATAAGTTAAATATCTAAGGCAATTGAGGCATGCGGAAAATATAGGCAGCATTTCCATGGCAACGCATCAGTGTATCAGTAATGATGCCAGTACCTTCCTTGCATTTTGTCATGATCCTTCTGTCAACACTCATCTCATCAAATTTCCCGTTCCCTTTCAGCATTGTCATCATTTATATGCTTTCCAGCTCTCCTCTCAGTTTCCTGTTTGAAAAACACAAACCATTTGTTATAACTCAATTTTTCTGTTACACTTCTGCGTTTTGTACAGAGTTCTACAGTCCAGCATTCATCTCATTTGACTGCCACTCAAGCGCCAATTCTTAGAATATTGTCACTCTCCACAATGCAAAATTAAAACAAAACTAAATGTAAGGCATCGATGCACAGCTGTTCCATGTTTCGGTATTTACACCTGTTTTACAATGGCAGGCAGGTTGATAATTGACACTACTCTTACAAGAAATCATAAACTGAATGCAAATAATCTTACAGCAAGATCGTACAGATCAACCCATTCCAATCGACAGGCAACCCTCTTTGACACATGCAATTTCTAATTCATAGAACTGTTCTGTTAAACCAAAATGCAAATGATTATAATCCTTCAGGCGAACACTGTCACTTCAAACAATATCCATGATTAAGCACAGCAAACTTTCCAAACTTAAAAATGTAGTACACACAGATTAATAAATCAAGTCACTGCTCAGTCATAATGTGCTGTACCATGCTGTTGCATTTGATATGGAATCAAAGAAACATCAAAACAATTCCACGGGGAATCCCCAAATCTTACTTCACTTTCTAAATCTTGGTCATCATCGAGTGAAAAATATCTCTCTGGTGCCTTCCACTATGAACAAATGACGAGAGTTTTTCAAGTCCAGTTAACAAGGTTACTCCTAAGATTCAGTGATAAAAAGATTTTCTCCCTAAAAGATAGACTTGACTCAAATTGGGATCTCTGTGACGACTTGATTCAAGTCTACCTAAAAGATGCATTTACACTACCAAAATGCAAGGTACAAAGTCAAGAAATGTTCCCTGAATCCCAATTTGGTTCATGAGTTGGTATTTGATGACTGTATTTTAATTTACACAACTTTGGATTCTGTCGGATCAAAGGATAAGGAGTGGCATATTGTTGGCATGTTGGGAGACAAAACTAAATATCTGACGTAAAAGTAATTTTTTAGATGTATACTGATCTACATAGGTCTGTGCCGAACTGATCTGCAGTAGATTGGACTAGGTTTGAGCCTCCAAAAGAAGTTGAAGTGGTCTTCTTAGCTAAAAAATGGGACAAATTGAAGGTTAAGTTGGGCACCTGGGGGTCAGGTGGAATTGACTAATGAGCAAGAAGAACTTTGGTTGATAACCTTACCTGGTTAAACACATTATCCTCTTGATGGGCTGGAACTAAAGCTGAAAAGGAAATATTCAAATACTCTTCAGCATGATTTGATGATGGAGTATGTACAGCTCAAAAACAAACCATTATTCCTCAATTTGTTACTGCATTTAAATATACCTACATTTTTTCATTTTAAATTAGATTTGAGGATAAGGTTGCTGTAGTTGACAGTCATATCCAAAGTTTGGTTTGTTTTTGAAAGTCGTGCTCACAAAGAGGACTTTGCTAGAAACCTCAGGTCATAAGGTCTGATACACAATATGGGCAATTCACAATGCAGAGTGCCACCAAGAAGTTGTCATGGAGAGGCCTTCTCTCAGTGCATTATGGGATAATCGACGAAGTCTCATTTGCTATTACTGCGCTGTGTGCAAAAAACTTGAATTTTTTCCCAACGTTTATTTATCTCGGTTAAAAATTCAAACTTGCTTATTGCAAACAGGTGTTAGGTAATCAAAATGGTTTTGTATAGTACAGGAAATGCCTCAATCAAATATCCCCAAATTATGTACGAAGTGCGCTTAATCGCAGCACCATGTTGACCGTAAACTTGAGAAGTGGCCTGTCTGTGGCAAACTCTTGGTGGCACGTTGTATTGTGAATTGCTTGTATTGATCACAACACTATGGCAAGGGAAATCATGCTTGTTATCCTTGTCAAATTATGCTTGGTAAAAGGACCATGTGATGACTAATTGCAAATTTCAATTCCTACTTACCTTGAGGGTCAGGTAACTGCACTTGCTCGTCAACATCTGGGTTGTCTACATCACCGATGTGAACACCAGGCGCTTGGACTTGGTTACCAGTCTCAGGTTTTCTGTGTTTTACATCAAAATCAAAGACCCCAAAAAGAAATTAATCTTTGCAAGAAAATATATCAGCTGGAAAAAAATATCTTCTACAGAAAAAAAAGCACACTGCACCTAACTTGATCCTTGCTTTCCCCTTGGGATCTTGGCTAGGAGGTGGCAGAAAGGTGTAGGGGTCAATCGGTTTAGTTCAAAGTATTTTTATCTTATGGTGTCCCTGACACCTCAGCTTGTGTGGATCGGTTTTGGGGGATCATTATTGATTTTGGAAGACTTTGTGTCTTGTTTTTCATGTCTAAAATTGAAGATTCTCTTTTCTATGTCAAAGGAAACCTGAACCCAAGGCACAAGCACGTAATTACACTGACCAGCAAAACTAAGGCTGAATGAGAAATGAGATTCTAGAGATTGTTTATGAGTTGTACTGACTTCTGAACGTTGCTTTCATCTCTGTCATCTTCGTTATATTGTTTATCTTCAGTATCCTCCCCATCTTCATTGTTGATATCGATTTCTTGTTGCTCCTCATCCCATTGGTTAGGCTAAAAGCAGACAGGAAATGAGTACAGGAAAGGATGACTTTTTTTTTTCACGAAGAAAATTGTGATGTGTTCTAACACACCTTCGTGATCTGCCAATGAATAACACCAACGTTTCTTGACCTAAAATTTACTTCCCCTTTCAATGGCGAACCTTTTCTGGATAAAGAGAATGGGTTTGGCCATGAAAGTACCTATATAGGGTTACACTTAATGTGGATTTCGGTAGCTTCAAGAAGTTATCCAGCAAAACAGATACTGGGCTAAACAATTGAAAGAAAATAATTTTTTTATTAATTGAGAAAAATGATGGATATTTTCAGCTTACCTTCTGGCCTGCACCACCAACTCTCTCAAACATGTTACCTGTTAAAAAAGACAAACGAGATAAGAAATCGATATCCAAAAAATCAGATCAAGAACGGAAAAGAGGAAAAAGCAGAATATTAACAATGGCTTGCTACTTATACTGTGACACAGTTATCTTGTATGAGGTTTGTACTGTAGCAGCTAGTTTTAAAGTGCAACCTCGTTCCCACGAGTACGATTCTGCTGTGCCATGTTGGTTCCCGGCACCATGCCCTTCGCAATCTTTGAAGCAATGTGCACGAAGCCTGTGGAGTCAAGGTTGACTTAAGTGACCTTACATGTATGAAGTCAGTGTCTATGAATTAACTTGAATAAAATGGAAGAGATTTTTCTTCTTTATGAGTGCATTAGGAAGCAAGCCAGTAGGAGGAGAGCGTGTCTTTAATGTGAATTGACCTAAATAAATTGGAACAGATGTTTCTCTTTATCAGGTAAACGTGCATTGCTAGGGATGTGCTTTCCAATCTAACCACAAGGTACCCAGTGTACACGTAACAACTGAGTCTTGAGACAAACAGAAGAAACTTTAAGACCAACACAAGACCTCCAGTCTGAATTCAAGTCACAAGCTATTCAACTGAACTGCAACAAAGCATTCCTTTGTCATTGTTCACTGTGACTTGTGACTGGTTTCAACTACAACACTGCAAAGTACAAAGGAGGAATATTTATCCACGCAGCTTACCAAACCTAATCTTTGAAATTCCATTAAATTTGAAAGATACAGTACTTCAGGATTGGATAGGTACAGCTCTGCCACTGTTTCTGTACGTAAGGCTTGATGCCCCAGGAAAAGTTACAATACAAAGAGTGCGCCATTTTACTCTGAGAGAATAAAAAATTCTGGAATCTTCAGATAACTTTCTTGGCTAGGTCTCACCTTTGCCTAATCTTAGCCGTTTGCGATGTTCTCTCTTCATTTCTTCTTCTCTCTGTTTCTGCATCTTGGCAGCATAATCTTCCTCTCCCTCATTCCTGGCTTCATCCTCGCCTTGTTGAGGCTGTAGAGCCACCTGCTGCTGTGCGTCTTGCTCTGCCTTCTGTCGTTCTTCTTCTGCTAGCTGATCTTCAGCTCGCTTCTGTTGAAATCCCATTCCTTGCCTCCGCATGTCATCTTGCCTTCAGCAAGATGAGGGAACAGAGAGGCCAGAGAGTGGTTGATATATCTTTACTACTATTCTAAGAGTTTCATCACGAAGTGTAAAAACCAACAGTCAATAGAATCCGTAAAAGGTGAGAAATTGACTCACTTGTTGAATAGTTTCTGCCTGTTTTGTTCCCATATATTTCCTTGTTGCTGGGCATTGTCCTTGGCTGGATCTCCAGGCTGTCCTTCATTTGTCTCATCAGGATGGTTCTCCCCACCACCGTCAGGTTGCTCCTACAGTCAACAATTCATTGATTTGACTACATAGGTGATGTCACAAAATGTTGCCAACTTGAAATCCGAGGATGTGGAGCATCAGTGTTAAATTAACAAAAACAAATAAATGAATAAACTTGTGAGAGGTGAATGCTTAGGGTCCTCCTCCTCCCAAACATTCCTCATCAGTCTTCATCTACTCTGAGCTCCCAAACCTTCATCTTTAGAGACAATCTGCGTACATTCCTCCTTGTTACCTGTTGCGCTTCCTCCTGTCTACGCCTCTCCGCATCCTGCTCGTCTCTTATCTCTTGCTCCTTCATGACTCGCTCCTGATTCTGTAAAGCTTCTCTCTGCTGTTGTTCAGCCTCCTCCCTCCGTCGCTCTTCTTGCTCTCGACGGACCCTGTCTTCTTCAGCCTCTTTCAGGTCATCCTCATCATTAGGCTCAATCCTCCGAGCCAGTTGCTGTGAATAAGAAAACAAAATGTGACAAAAGGATTTTTGAAATTCTAGCACGACGCTCAGCCCATCTGAGATGACAACATTGTTATCCAGCATAAGCAACAACCTGGGTTTACAACTACAGATAGACAAGTTTCAAATTTACAGTATTTACAAGTGAAAAATCATTTGGTTGAGAAGGGAAGTTATAACAAACAGGTACATAGCTGCAATTAACAGGTGCTAGAATGGACAAACAGTTGCATGGCTGAGTAAAAAATAACCAGTAATGCTGTATTAATACAAACACTGGATGAGTGACTGTAATGAAAAAATGGAAACGGTAGACAGGTAACCACAGGCTGTCAAAATGCACAGGCGGCCAAATTGATGAGAAGATGGCCACTTTACACAGGCTGCCAACATGCAGAGGTGATCAGGTGGCTGCATGTACATTACACAGGTTGCCATAGTATACAAGTGGCAACCACAGACAGGTACAGAAACATAACATGTACATGTGGCGATAGACAAGGACATGGCATTATTTTAATAAATAAGAAGCATTAAAGCAAAGCTGGATGCTCTAAAAAATCACCGTTCATTTCCTTGTCAGTGTTGGCAGGTGCACAATGATTTTTCCATCATTAAAAGGACATTACATGATTATTTCCTGCAAGCTACTACATCTATGAACATTAATAAGGCATTGTAACACTACTGTGTGTTTAATGATGGTGTGTTACAGAACAGAACAATAAATTACGGGACTTTGAATTTGAGTGGCTGGTCATAATTAAAATCTACAAAGTCTCAAGGATATGACCACTTAAATATCAAAAAGCATTGATACACAAACAAAAGCATGCAGAAGATGTTATGTGTGTAGTTTTGGTTTCTGTTCTCATTGTGACTAGCCATGAGGAACTCAAAGCTCTAAAATGGAAACTGAATTATGTTATTGACTTAAAGGGCAAGATAAACAGCCAAAACTAAAAAAGCCTTTCATGAACATGGAACATTTAGCCTCTCAAACTAACACAGTTATACGGAAGCCTACAATATACTGGAGAAAATAAAATTCATTTCAAACATTCAGCTGACATTTGTTCATTTTTACGAGAGAAATTTGTGACACTGTGCTAAAACCAGATACTCTCTTGCGAAGCAAAAATGAAGTTTGATAAGGAATCTTATTGAAGACAAAAGGAAGAAAAGCTGACACTGTGCTTGAGTTGTGTGCGACCTTTTTCTCTCACATCAGACTGCCCTTTTTTGACTCTTAGAAAAGTCTGGTTTAGCCAAAAGACATCACGTTGGGTTGATGAATGTTTAACAAACATAACCTGTAATCCATCTCTATGGACTATGATGAGCCAACTGAAGAATGCATTAGCTGTGGGTTAGTAAGTTAGTGAATGAGCTGACATGCGTGCATCAAGACAGCGCAATATCCTCTATCCATCCACAGTCTGGATACCTGCCGCTTGGTGTTACCATTCTTGGCTGCCGCTTGCCGATTGGCTCGGTTTTGTTGGCGTTTGAGCTGATATTTTCGGAGCAGCTCTTGCTGCTGTTGGTAATAACGCTTCTCTTGTTCCCTCTTTTTGAGTAGCTCCTTCAAGTTGTCTTTGCCTCTGTCAGCTTTCTCGTTAACCTGAGCATAAACGATCAGTTCACTTGAAGCTGCCCAAACATGAAGAGTTCAACCACTTTTGTCCACCTATGGCTCTTAGGACTGAATCCATAACGTTGAAAAGTGTGTTCACGGTAACGTAATCTACCTGCATTTCAGTGCAGTCAAACTGTCAAATTTGGCTGCTGTTGCCACAGTTACAAGAAGCAGATTACAAGTAATTTTTTTCACTGAGAATTCTTTCAAAGGTACAAAACACGACAAAACTACAGAGGAAAATAGGAAATAACGCCAGCACAGCTAAAACAATTAAGGGCAATACCTGAAGGATGTCTTGCATAAGTTTTCACATAGATTAAATACCAATTAACTCACCTGCTGTTGCTGCTGTTGGTCTTGAACCTGCTGTTGTTGGTCAGCAGCCTGCTGTTGTTGGTCTGCGGCCTGCTGCTGTTGCTGATCAGCTAGCTGATGCTGATATTGTTGCTGTTGCTGTGGCTGATACACTTGTTGTTGTTGCTGCTGGTTTCCAAATTGCTGCTGTTGATTTCCCATGTTTGGATACTGCTGCTGTTGGCCAGCGTATTGCTGCTGCTGTTGATTGTTATATTGTTGCTGCTGTTGCCGCTGCCTTTGTAAATACTGCTGCCGTCTTATTGCATACTGTTGTTTTAATAATTCCTTTAACGTTAATACATACATACAGAGAACAAAATATTAACAGTGAACATCTGTTTGGAATTTGACTGAATTTTCAACTTTAGAGACAAGCTCATTGGCAGTCAAAATGTGCTACATTACTATGAAATTTCATTGTCACTTTCTATGACTGGACATGAGCAAGTGTCATACCCCTGCCTCCAACTGGTTCGACTCTTACTGACACACTGAAAGTCACCCTTTTTCACACATGAATGCAGGAACTGATTGCCAAAATGGAAACAGGTGATGATAAAATAGACTGGGAAAGTGTCCTGTTGTTAACTTTCATTGCTAACTATGGAGTCCTCTCTAGTTCACATGTCTTGTGAATAGAAAATGAAGGATTTTCACCATCAATGAAGACACTATGGCCTTCACAACTTTGACAGTTGACTTAGTTTTCTCATTGTACTAGATGAGCTGTTCAGAGATGGCCATCTGATGTTTAGGCCAGACCAGTACCCACCTGCTGTCTGATTTTGTCGTATGCTCCAAGTTCTGGTTGTGACTTGATGTAAAGTCTGTGTTGTGATGGATCAAGCTGAACCTGTTGCTGCTGGTTACCCTGCTGTTGTGGATTCACCTGTTGCTGCTGGTTACCCTGCTGTTGTGGATTCACCTGTTGCTGCTGGTTCTCCTGCTGCTGCGGATTTACCTGCTGTTGTTGCTGGTACAGCTGCTGCTGTTGGTTCACCTGCTGTTGGTCAACAGGTTGCTGTGGTAGTTGTTCCTGTTGGTCATTTGCGTTAAACTGCTCTTGCTGCTGATTGCCTGCCTTGCGTCTATTTAACTGACTCAACTGGTCTATATGTTGCTGGTAGAGAAAAATGACAGATACAAATTTAGGAGCTCTTGAAAAACGCAGCAATTTGGTGGTGCCTTATAATTTTGAATGGTTTTGCTCCCTTAAAAGACAATGAGATTCGTTGTGATTATTTTTGTAGTGTCTACAAGAGTATACCTTAACTTTTCCTTTTTTTGATCCACAATGAATATACATGTACATGTACATGTACATGTATATGCTGATTTGCGCTTGAACTTAAAAGAATGAATTATGAAATTTAAAATTCTCTGGAGGTGCCATGCGGGCATTCTTTATACATGTAGGTGGACGCATGTTAATGTATGTGTTTCCTGAAAACTCATCCAAATTGTGAAAAAATTGATAAAGTTAGTTGTCAAATAAAATGATTTGATTCTGATGTTGTTAACAAAGCTGTGTTAATTCTTGGAGTGTATTAACCCTAACCCACCTCAATCCTCCAAAATCCTTTGGGTGGTTTTGGAGGATTTTAGAGGATTGAGGGTAAATGGCAAAAGTGCATGGCTTATTGCAAAGGATGCCATGAATGAAGATCATGGATTAGACCTTGTGTTGTTTTTGCTTAGTCATGCATAAATTCATCCAAATGTTTGTTTTGGATTAACTGCAGTGCTCAAGAACACCACTCAAACTGCCGCAACATTATGACAGGAATTGCTGGAGGATTTTGAAAGAGTTTTGAGGCAGTAGGCATACCTCCAAGTAAGATTATTAAGACATTTGGAGGACTGATGGAGAATCCAATTATCTCCCCCCTCCCAAATTGGGGGATTTTGGAGGATTGAGGAGGGTCCCTGGCAAAAAGGGCCCAGGGAGTTAGGGTTAGACATTAAAAGCAACATGAAATGTGATTACACCAATGGTATACATGTACATGCCAAACAATCTACATTGGGCACAACACCTAACATGTCTAATATGGTTTGCCTTCTTCTCATCATATGAACCACGGAGAGGCCACGTCAACCTTAACCTTTACTTACTTTATATTCCTTAGCTTTTTGTTGTAGGTTTTTATGTTCATAATGAAGTTGTTCATTTTCAGTCTGCCAATAAGAAATAAGAAATTAAGGGTGAACTAAAAAGGAACCAACATAAAAGGTTAGGTGTCATTCAGATGAAAAGGTGTGAAAGTTGTGACATTTAGTAAAGTCTCATTAAAAATCATGGAAGTGAATTTGTGAAGTGGGAGGGGACGAGGTACCAGACACTTTTCCTTGACGAGATTATCCCTAAAACTCTCAAATGTGTCAAAGACCCAAACCTGATCTTATTTGATTTTGAACAAAGTCATGTATCAAAATCCCAGTTTCTATTCCAAGAATTGGCTGGAGAGTACCAGATTTTGAAAGACTTAGGACACAAATGGCCTACAAAAATGTAAAGTCCTTTGCAAGTCTTTGGAAATTGCACATGCAAATTTGCAATGAGGTTAAAGAAGGCATCCAACTTCTGTCAAATTGAATTCTGTCAAATACAAAACCATACAGCTAAGGGTTAATCATGCAATCTATAATCATGTTTTAGTGGGTACAAAGTTACATCTGTTACACCCATGGGTTACATTTGCAGCCACACATGTACATGCAAATCTCAAAACAAAAGAGATTTCATTACAAAATGCAAAGAACAAAAAATTCTGAAGATTTCAGTCTAGTAACTGCTCAGACATGTTCACATATATGTGCCTTATGACAACATGGTAGTCTCGATTAAATCCATGGGTTAAGTGTTAGATGTAAAACCTTCAGAAAAATTTCAATTAAAAACATGCAATTTGGGATGGGAATTGTGTTCTTGGCAGACATGAATGTCAGATTTGGGCAGAATGCCAAACAAATCAAAAACTGAGAAAGAAACTCAAAAAGTATTTTCCAACAACCTACAGGTTCTATCCATTACCTTTTCTATCACATCAGTTCTCTTACCATCATACAGGAACACACTGTCTCTACTCTAACTTGCCCTCATCAAAAACTACTAGAAAACTTTCTATGCTCCTGGTTCAACTCAAATTGATGAAGCGTTTGACTATCACAAAGCCATTGCCTCCTACCTGGTACTGTCCAATGTCTCCCTTCAATTTTAAGATGTGATCTTCCAATCGTTGTCTCTCAGCGTTGGCATTAAGAACGTCTTGCTGTAAAGTATCACCAATATGTCACAAGAATTCAATACATTAGTACGCATTACAGAGTTACATGTATGTCATGTCTAGTCTTTCTGGCAGTGGGTACTTCCTTTCTGGACCACTTTTACTTTGAGAGAAATCTCAAACTTGTTGCCAAATTCTCTCTGTGGTGTATTAGGAAAAAAATGAATCCTCATCACTAACCTCACGTTGCTGAAGAACTCCAGACATCTGTTCATGTTGGTTCCGTATTCTGTTCAGTTCCTCCTGAGCCGAGGCAAGTTGAACTAGAAATATGTGAAGTATCAAAAACCTTTTACTCCAGAAAAAAGTCTAAATAACTCATCCAAAATACACATGACACTGAGCTGGGAAATTTCTCAATGCAGGTCTTTTGTGCAAATGAAACAAACTTACAGCAAATAGGAGTAAGCATGGATTTAGAAATAATATACAAAAGACAAGGCATTTGATTTCCTCAAACCAATCCAAAACAGGCCTACAATTAACTTGATGAATAAACACTTTGGCCAGCTATGGCAGGAGAAGCAATGTGGAAGTTGGATTGCTTGTGTGATATATGTACATGTTCATAATTTCATCAGGGCTTTTGTTCTGCACTCTGGAGCTGAAAGAGGTGATTTTGCTTTCCTTTTGTTTGTTAAACATTCAATAAATGGACGGATATTTTTAGAAATACAGTTTTCTTTCAATATCCAAAACTACTTCTGTGTTTTATGTCAGAAATAAAGTTATATTAAAGTCTTCCAAGCTCCTACTTCTGAGGTTATGAACTTCCTCTTCTTGTTCTCGTTGTAATCGTGTCAAGTTCTCTTCATGTTCGTATTTCTCTCTCTCATGTTGCACCACCGCATCACTATGCTGCTGTTTTACATCTTCCAACTCCTGTTTCAAATCTTCATGCTGCGTCTGAGAAGAAGAGGCATGGGAAGAAACAAACGACGTTCATTTCAAGCAAATTTGCGAACAGGTAGACACATATAAAGTATAAGCGTCTGGTAGAACTTAGGAACCATTATAATTTGAGCATTACATGTACACGCGGTGTACCTTATTGAAGTAGCACTTGATAATTCATGGAAGGAGCCACACTCTACATTCCATTGTGTGCTAGTTAGATCATTGCAGTCAACCTAATGATACACATAGTTTATTAGTCTCCTCAACTTTACTGCAATTAATTCAAAACCTGTTAAATTCATAAGGAATGGATTTATAATTTCAACAAAAGCACTGAAGTTTCAATGAGATAATAGTACATACATTAAAACGTTTTTTTTCATAAAACCTTATCCTGCAAGTGCCTTTTATCTACACGTACATGAACAAGTATGACTTCAGTAGAATATGGCAGGATGGATACACCTTCTACTGAATAATAATTTGAAAGTGTAGAAACCTGTCATGAGTACAATGTAGAAGTATTTACATGTTGACCTGTAACAGCACTGGATTTAGGTTTGGGTAAAGTTCCCTGTACAAAAGTGTACAATATTGCAAGAGGTTGTGTCAAACACATCTCAACAGCTTCATTTTTGAGTTTTCATTTACCCAATCCTGTGATAGGACATGATAACAAGACGGACAGGATATGTTATGTAAATCCACGACCAAGTTAATTCAAATGCTGTAACTCAAAGCTACCCATCTGACCCCATATTGTCTCATATGTCCATTTTTTCCCAGCTTTTTCACCTGTCAAATTTCTTCAAAACCATCCGTTCTCTTAGTGCATGATGCTAGAGAAGGACGACTAATACAATCCAGATGGTAGCTGACAATTTATTGTAATTACTTCTTTGATATTCTCAAGAATTCCCAGGAGCACGCATCAAGGGAACCGTTAAGGCCCATCAGATCCCTAGAAGAAAATTGCTCCCCCCCCCACACGCATTATGTCTCACAAGAAAAAGAAATGAGCCATACTGTTTGGAAAATGTATTAACCTATGATGTACATGTAGGTAGAAGCTACAATGCTTAATGCACAAGATTTGTCCTCTGATATACATGTATCACAAGGCTTGAAAATCCCCAAGGAAAGTGGTGGAAGTGGTTGTATTATTCTCACGGGGAATTTATTACTTTCTGCATGACTTAAGTTTTGTAGTGTGTATATATTAAAGTAACCCTTCATGTAAAAAGAGCCCTCAATTTCATATAAAGTGGCTAGACAGTACATTTATGTGTACTATTTTTCTAAATTTATTAGGACTGCTTCAGACAGATGTAAAGGTGGCAATTTCTGCTTTGATTCAGTGTGACAGAACAACAAATAAGGACACTCTATTTCAGCCAAAAAAACAAAGATAAGAATAAAAATGACTAAAGGAGAAGGCTGACGTACAGGTCATTGTATGATTTGTTCACAAGTAAGACTTTTTAACAAATCACTACAATGGAGGTACCATACCGTAAATAGATGTAGGTAAACATTCCAATAGAAGTTGACCACTTCTGACACCATTTCTCTATTTTTCAATACTCTACGATCATCTCCATAAATACACTCAGCACTAACCTGCAGCATCTTGTGTTGAATATTGATTGCATTATATCGGTTTTGTGACTCTTTCTGCATTGCCATGGTGACAGGAAAAAGAAAGAGAAGAAAACATTTAACAATTGGGGCAAAAGGTAGTGATATGCATTGTTTTTAACCCAAAAAGACAAAGTTGAAAAGGCTGTATCATTTCATGAAGACCTATACTGTAACCGTGGTAACGGTTCAATGATGTTATAAGTTCTCCATTAATTTAAACTTTCTGCTCATGGCACATTCTAAAATTGATAATTACAATACATGAATAGTTTAAAAGGAAAAACTCTTTACATACCTTCTGTTTTTCTAATTTATCTTCAAATTCTGTAAAGGAAAGATACATGTATGATCAAAAGTCAGTTTTTGTTCGGATATGTGTAGGCATGGTAGGGTTGAAATAAAATGGGCTGGATTATTCCTTCCCATAAATCCCACCAAAGCTTTACAAAACATGATTTTAAAGTTGTTGAAGCATTGGAACACAAACGGACTGTTTGTTTACATGGATCTGGATCGCGGTCAGTGATCCCAAAGTTGGCT